GGGGGGGGGGGGGGGGGAAAAGAAGGGGAAAGGGGAAGGAGAGATGCAAGTCAGGGAGATGAGCACCATAGTCGCAGTTGTGAGAATACTCCAAATTCATGTCGTCTATGCAGATTGCGACCATGCAAATGAAGGACTCCACTCGAGGAGTAGAGGAATCTGCATGATGACCTTGCAACCTCCAGTAGAAAGACATGGTAACCTCAATTTGACTCGTTTATGGGGCAAAGTTTTCAATATCGCCTGACGGGGAAAGGGTGGCGACGGGTGAAGGGGTGATGGCTTCACGGGGTAATGTTCTGTAATGCAGTGGGATTACAGCGTTTTTTCACTGCTAGGAGGAGCGAAGAGCACTGTAATCGATCTGTATTACGGAACATTGGCGTTAGAATGGGTCACGCTTCGATGTAATGAGTTCGAGCACGATGGAAAACCGCAATAACTTTGATACCATCAGAGTTTCATTGCCATTCTGGTCTGCTGCAACTTCCATCGTCCGAGAACCTGGGACCATTCAGGATTTTTCAAGAAATCGTGAGATGGAAAGTGGTCTTTCTTGTCCAGTAAAAATTCGCAATAAGAGGGGGAAATGCCTTTCAATGGCACAGCAAGACAAAATATCACCATAACTCTTTCATTATTAAACCTTTCACAGCCATATTATGATCCCCGTTGTGCATAGCTCAACTACAGCTCCACCTCGATGTCAGGAAAATGGTAACTCGCGCCTCGACGAGGCCCAGCGAAATAACAAAGTTGGTCATTTCAGAGAAAGGAGAGGTATTTCCTTCCTTCTAGGCATCAATTTTCCGCTTTTCGCAGAAATAAATTGAGGAATGGAACATCGGGGAGTGAATTTTTCGCCTTTTAGATGGATTGCCACATGACTAGATTCGAAGACTATTCACGCGGATCGGAGCATCTCATCAAGTTTCTTCGCAATTTGGGACGATTCGAGCGTCAATGCAAAAAGTGCAACTCGTTCCTTCTGCCAAGGCAAGACGAGTCATTCATTAATTGGCTCAAGAAGAATTCCGCTCGCGATATATATTTTTTTTCCGCCGTACGCCGATCGATCACACTCCTTCATCGGGGCTTGTCCCGCTCGGCACATCGTGATGGGACTGATAAAGACGCCGACCCAGCCTTCTTTCGCTTCGTTTTACAACCGCTCTGTTGGAAATGCAATCACATCCTCGATGGAATTTCGTTGTGGGGGGCCACCTCGACCACCATCGTTCATTTCTCGCGCAGCTTTTCCTTTTTTTATTTTTTTCATGAATCCCCGAAAGGCATAGAAGTAGTGGGGTTCAGTGCTGGTCGTGGAGGAGGAATGGTGGAAGGTAGCGAAGGAAGATGGGTGAAAAAAGGTTACGAAGGGAAAGGAGTTTCCGGAGCCACGCGTCATTCCCTCTACAACGATGACCATTCAAAGTGCATAAACAAGCGATTTAAAGTTTAAGATGAAAAGCATGATTTTAGCCTGGCTTTCGCGGAAGACTAACCCTCCCCGCGTCTTGGCGTTGTAATGTGCTCGCAAACCGTTAAACCCCCGCGATCGAAGCGATATATTATCGTCATCCTGTCAGAGTGGGGCCACTATAAAGTAGGAAGTGAGTGACAGACACGCAGACGACGAGAGCTTCATTTGCCTGGTTACTCCTGGACTGAGCCGAACGATTTCCATCTACAGGGTGACCACAAAGTCTGAAACCAACGGGGAATAGTATTTTATTACAAATCCCCTTTTGTTGTAGGTGATGTACTGAAGTTCTGAACATGGGTTTGAAGAGAGAGGAACGAATTGAATTGGTTTATCAAAACTTAAAAAATCGCCTTCAAACATGTATTTAGTTAGCTGGAGAACATTTTGAGCGTTTGTTAACTATATTCCCCATTGATTCCAGACTTTGTGGTCACCCTGTAGACTCGTTCCACACGCACCGGCTGGTCGTCTTCTTCTTATGAATATGTAATACTCGATGATCGGCACGCCGCGTGGCGATCGAAGGAGAGGACTCAAGCTCATGTTTATCTGTCCTCGCAGCTGTCTTATTTAAAAAAAAAGGGGAGGCGATGACGGAACCGAAGGAGCTCGTTCATATCGACTCTCCTCGAGAAGTGTGTAAGCGTCAGCGACATCTTCACCCCCGCCCCCCTTCCCCCCTCTCCCCACGAGACACATCTAGGGAGAGGCGATCGAAGGTCTGTATGGAATGGAAGTCCGTGGCATTGTCCCCTGGTGTGTTTCTGGCCTGTATCTCTTACGGCCAGGGAACCAACTTGGCACTTTTGAGTGCTGCAGAAGGATCGCACCCGTCGGAGGAACTACGAAGAGAAGGGCTTCTTGTCTCTCTTCAGATATAACAGAAATTACAGCTGTCTTCCACATTGTTCCGAATACTTTTTCATAAAATGTCAGGCAATGACAGCTAATGTTACGCCTCGTGGTGCGAAAAGAACGAGTTCCCTGCCCATCCACCATTTCGTATTAAAGGCAGGTCTTTCATTTTCAATGCGGCTGCAGTCCCTCGTACTTCCTTTCCGCTTATTTGCAGCGCTTAAACCCCAAGGTTCACGATAAAAGCTCTTACATGCTCATCGACCGCCTGCACTAAGAGAGCATTTCATCCCGCTCAATCTGCCATGTGAATAATACTTCCGTCGAGATGAATATCGCATCACGGAAGGAAATCCGGGTAGAATTGCCTCATGCAGCTCGTGTGATCCGCAGGTTCTGGTGGGGCACGAAGGCGGGGTCTTATGCGTGGGGATCGGGAGCGTGGAGGGACGAGCCGTCGTGTCTGGCTCGAGGGATCGGACCCTCATTAAATGGAGTTTAGACACTGGAGAGGAACTGCTCATCATGAGGCAGCATCTGGATGATGTCACTGCGCTGGCTATCACGGCCGACGGATCTCTCGCCGTCTCGGGTCTGTTTAAGGCCGGCTTTTCTCCTTTCAGGGACGCGATCGATGGATTCACGAGGGCAGATGTGATTTTCTCGCAGGGTCGCTGGATGGGACCGTTTGCGCGTGGAACTTGAACGACGGGAGTCTTCTGTCGCAGATGGGGCTGGGGAGTCCCATCGATGGCCTCCTCTGTTCCACGGATGCATCCGCCATTTGCGTGAAACTGGAATTTTGTAACACGGCTCCCATCCTCTGTCTGCACAACACCCCGGCGTCTCGCATCCAGCCCGTCCCCGTCAACGTCTTGCCCCCCGGTCCCGACTCTTTGCGCTTTCGTTTTCGTGGCAACTACATGCAGGGTGTCAACGTCGCGATCGTTCCGCAGGTTCGGCCATGGAGTTGCGAAATGCGGTGAAGAAGAAACCGATGATGAGGAAGGAGTTCTCCCTCGACACCTACACGTGGCAGAAGAAATATGGGCGTCTCCTGAGCCGGGAACTCCCTCGACTCGGTTCCACGTCTAGTCTCGACGAGGTCACGTCGGTCGGCGAAGAAGATCCCGGAAAGGTTGCTCGCGACTTCCTCCCTTCCAAGTTATACAATTTCTTCGTTATTGATTTACCTACATTTATGCTTTATCGCAGATCATCTTAAGCCTTCAATGTGGCCAAAAGAAGGGGAGCTGGGGCTCTGTGTTTCAATCCAGATCGTCCTCTCTGGTAAGTGGATCGCGCTCACCGTGACTTGGTTGTGAAAATTTTCAGTGCAATGCTTTCATGAACATCTGGCTTCGCAGGCAAAGCTCCCCATGAAGCGTGAAGACACACGAGATTCGAGAGAGACGAACGACGTGATGTAATCCGCCGTTTGAATGTTTGACTTTTATTGTGATCAGAGCGATTACCTCTGTACAATCAGTACTGTGTTCATGAATGTCCGTTGACCCCTTGGAGCAATCCCTTACCAACATGTGATACCCTTCCATGAGACTATTTCATTCAAGAGAAAACGAGATAAAAGGAGTCCTGCTGAAAGGGGAATGGTAAAAGGCATTTATTGCTCTGGAATGTTAATTGAGGACTATCACATAAGTATCATGCAATCCATATCATTCAACACGATTGTATATTACTCCCGATTTGAAATTCCCTCAACAACAGGAGCCAAAACAGAAGTCTCCATCCCAGAGTCTTCTTCAATTAATCACTTTGCATCCAGCCCATAGCATAGGACTGCATCATTCAAGACAGACTTGAGGGATGAATGAAAAACGGGTGTCTCACTTTCTTCCCTTGATGGCAGTCTGATGTTACTGGCTGGATGCAAGAGGTTTCAATCTCAATTGCAAACCTGGAACTAGAATGTGGCAAAGGTACTTACACCTAACTCACAGGGCAATTAGGAATTCAATTACCCAGTGAAACATAATGAAATACATCACAGGAAGCAGCAGTAGCAGGATTTTTTGTCTGTCTGGAATCATAAAATAAAAGATTGATACAGAAGTACTGTTTCCAAGCTCTTTCAAACTTACAACTTAATATTCAAGAATAAAATTTCAGAACACAATAATTGAGTGTAAGAATTTTGAGGGATGACTCATACTCAAATGATAATTCTCAAGTTTGTAAGTGGTGCAGAGTTTACTACTTGATTTGTAGAACTACTCAAGAAATGGGGGGTGAATATGCATTATTAGAAAGTTGGCTAACTGACATGCAGACAAGATTGGGTTTTGATTATCATTTTGCTCAGATAACTAAACTACTTCAAAAATATTGGCTGTATGTAGGCCTAGGAAAAAATATATCAGAAGGGCAGCTAGCTTTGCATGATGGACTTAACCCTCAATGAAAGATACCATTTAATAGAGCTTGGATGAGAAAAACTTTTTGTAAACAATATCTGCAAGCCAGTTAATTGCACAAAGTCCCATTATGATTGCCTTAAGGAGAGAGGTTGTACAGGTAATCAAAACTCTACTGCATGCACTTCAATGTATGTATCAAGTATGAGATTATTGACGGAAGTAGACACACAGGTGTTAAACTGCATAATAGAATATGCAAATACGATCTCAACATGTCTATGGAGATTCTGTCCTCCCTACATACTAATAGGCCTAGTATTCAATTAAATATGTCAGGAGCATAATAATCTGTCCATACTGAAGACAAAAATGATCTAAAGTATCAAGACATGAGATTCTTTCTCCTAAACATGAGTTTCATGATATATAAGAGAATTCATATGAGAGTCTTATAGTATGAAAAGAGGGTCTTCAATGGGTCTGACTAGTTCTACAGGGAAAGGCTTTAAAAAGGGTCTAAAAAATGCTCAATTAGCTGGAATATGTTATGCAGATAGTTCAAGTTCACAGGGGGGAATTTGAAGAAACCATGACATCACTACAACTCGGACATTGTCAAGGCAGGGCTAGGAAGACTGATGGGCTCATAGGCGAATCTTCTATAAGTGTATCTGTGATCAACTTCCCTCTTGGAGAAATCAATATCAACAGCATAAACTCTTCACAGGTGTGAGCAGGCTGACTCTGACCTTGAATCTGGATTGAAGTCCTTGTACTGAGAGAAAACTTGTATCTGAAGAAGAAAAACAGATCTGCATGTCAATCAGAAGGCTAAGACATTCCAATCTAGGCAAAATACAAATTGAGCATCTTCTCACTTTATCTTTGACCCGTTGGCAGAGCTGCAGGGCAATGGTGAAGAGAACGAGGACTTCATTAAGCCATGGGACAGAACATTCTGCCTGCATGGCATCAAACTTAGTTGTTCCATGACTGTGGGTCAAGTGGTATACAGCCAGAACCAATTTATGAGACTGCAAGTAGAAACTGATGGCCACATCCCCTGGCAGCTGGGGCACCAGGGATTTCTAAACAAACCACACAGTTATACATCATCAACCACAGTTGGACCTATACGAACATTAGCTATGAGTTTCTGCCTTTTGATCTGACCACATTGCGGCTGTTGATGAGGTCTTCAATGGTGCGTTTCTTGGGAATGATGAGGCTGGAGCGGCCTCTTTGTAAGCAATCCAGCACAGAGGAAAACATTCGAGACACCTCCTCTCCAGTTCTAAGGAATAATACATTGCCAATATATGTATTGAACTATGCTTAAGGTGAAAATTCTGGAACTGGAGGAAAACAAGAGGATACAATGCATTTAAACATACTGGAAACGATACTCCTTGTCTACATCTGATAGCCTCTGCATGGCCATTTGAAGGTGATTGCCAGCATCTTGAACTTGCTGCAATTTCCAAGGAGCTTCAGGTGTTACCTGAGTGTGGATCACAGGAAGGGAATGACGATGGATCCTCAAGGAAATGTCCTGAGAAGAAAGAAATGGAATACATGTTCACAATGCTGCCAGGACAATAAAACAGGGTTAGATGACTGACAAACTCTTGTCCACAACTTACTGCCTGGGTGATAAGGTCTCCATTAACAGAAACTACACACTTGATGCCATCTGTTGCAGACTGCTGATTGTTGAGTACAAACTTGTCCTGCTTGATAGAGGACTCAACACCACATAATGCCATTGGAAAATGCTTTGAGCAATCCTAAAATGTGACAGGAGGCAGTTAACCTGAATTTCTAATACTTCTACACTAACTAAAGAGTACATCCAATGGAAACCTTCAAGTAGAGGGAACACTGGGTGATTCTAATGTTCTTGTGCTAGACTCGTGCATTTTATAAGTTATTCTGGACTTTAAAAAAAAAGCAGAAAATAGGCAAAGCCCTCCACTGGGCAATTAAGTTAATCAAGGAAGAAGTGATGAACACAGACACCAAGTGTACTGTATAATGAGCTGTAAGAGGGAGAAATTCAATCAATATGGGAAAAAGATGGGTCAGTTGGATTAGCAAACAAATCACAGTCTTTGTAATAACCCATCACTTACACATTTAGGTTGACTTTCATACTCTTGTAAAGAAGTAAAAACTCAACACCACTACTGCTCTCTGCCTTGTCTTCCCTCTGCTCAAGGGTTCCCCAACAAGCATTTTGGCTCTTATACCTGCAGAATGGCAGTGAGTTGAGCTATTGCATCATGCACCTCATGTTCCAGGAGCCACTCATATTCTTGTTCCTGGAAAAAAAAGTGAAATAGCAGAGAAAGTTATCAATATAACTCTGACGTCGTGCTGGCGAAAGTAAAGGTACAGATGCACAGCATGGATTAATGGGCCCATTTTAAGTATTTCATATAATAGTTTTTCGGTCTTTATTAATCCTCCAAGTGGCAAAAGTCGTAGTTGCGACGTTAATACAGGCTGCAATAACGTCGTAATTGCGACGTTTGCCGCCTGGAACGTGAAATCTCTGGAGAGGAAAAAAAGAAAATTACTCACGAGATAAGCTACTTCGTGATGCATGGTGGCAGCCATGTTGTCGCTCATCCCCGCGCTTGTGCCGCTTCAATCGAACCACGTGAGAGTCCTTCAGGATTCTCATCTGGCCGGAGTTTGGACCAGGACCGTTCCTTGAAATCATTTTGTCTCTGGTCTTCTTCAGACACAAGCGCCGGGAACCGGTGGAATCTCTTGAGATGGAGAGGAGGCACCAGCAGAGGAAGCTGGCCAAGAAACTTATTACTCAAATCACCGGACTGAAGGTATGCAAGCTGCAAGCTCTAGAGTGTTTTGCAAAAGAGTTCGTATCATATATTACATTGGGCAATGTTATTTCTATGGTGCATTCCAGGAGGTGAGAGTATACCCTTGGATAAACATGATATTAGGCTTATGGGGTCAATGTTAGAGGTATGAATTAATCTGCAATGCATTGTACAGTATATGCCTTTGCCATTCAGGCAAGACATGTAATTGATGGTCATAGGCCTAAACTGTGTTTTCTTTTCATGAGGTCTATGCCTACCATGCCTCTTATCGTTTTGGTTTCTAGGAAGGCCTGAAAAACAGTTTTCCTTCCCTTTCAGGAAGATGATGGAAATTTCACAGCATGTGAAGAATATGTCCTGCCAAACTGGGAGCATCACCGCTTCACATCTGTCAACAGTCACCAAGTGAGACGAGAGGTAGAGGGTTTGATTGAGCGATTCAAGATTGAAGCCATGTATGAAGAGGCTGAGGTGCTAGAGAAATGCTTCAAGGAATTACTACAGTCCCCAGCATTTGTCAACCATGAAGAGGTCTGATCATTGAGCCATTCCTTTCAAGTAACTAATTTCAGAGTCATAACATGCAATTTATGTGAATCACAGCTCGTGGATGTGTCTTTCTAAAAAAAAAAAACAAAGGAGTTAAGAATCTTGTTACTAAGAAAACAAAGAAAAGTTGGCATCTAGCAGATGGCTACTCACTTAGCCTTAACCCTAGCCATTCCATATTTTTTTTATATTGTGTTGAGAGCACATTTGGGAATGCCCTCTAGAGATAGTAGGGCCAAGATAATATGAGCATTCAAAGTGACTTGCATGGATGCAAACCATGGATGAAAGACACTAGGGACCAAGACTTCATGATTCAATTTAAAATCTGAGATAAGACATTCTTTAAAAAACTGTAATGAAAATTACTTCATGTGAAGGAACTGGGCTGAAAATGATTAAAGGTAAGAAAAGTAAGGACATGCCATGCCCCATCTGATTTCAGTGACCAAATCATATATATCTTAGGCATATTCATTCTGAAATTCTGAATCTATTCTGGAAAAATTTACACTCATCTTCGAAGACAGGCTTTTACTTTAGTCTGGCACTATTTCACATAATTCTGATGACTATGGCACTTCTCAGGCATGGGTGTTTTAAATATTGAAAGTTTATTGGGGTGATTTAGGTGCTGGCTCTTTATTTTAAATTAAATAGTGATCAGCAGCTGGGAAATACCATGATCAGAGATAGGATGACCTTTAGTTGATAGCTAGTTGATCTTTATTGCTGTGTAATTATTTTCTAAAGTATGGTTTGGTAGTTTTAATCCTGGACTAAATTTTATTATTATTCCCAGGTTGATCTGCCATGGTCGGTGCTTCAGTTACTTCTCATTCTATGCCATAAGTCAGCAGAGTTAGGTCTACCTGGGGCATGCCCTCCTCACCGCACAACACGATTGAAAGGAGGAGAAAGTATCACCAAGTCTCAACTTGAACGACTGAGCCCCATCATGTCCTGTTCTCTGACTCCTCCTGATGATGTAAGTATGGATGCTGAACCAGGCAGAAGTCTGAATTGTACATATGGATCTAGAATGCTTAACCTAGTTGGATGTGGAAAATGAACCATTTTGCCATTGAGAAACTCTTGATGAATAGGATTTAAATTTTCCTGGTTCATAGAGAAGTCAAAGAAAAAATTGAGCAGTTCAAAATTGGTTATCATAAAAAATGGGAATCCATGGTTCAGAATATTTTCTTGAATTTACTGCTAATTATTGGTATCACAAAGAAAATGTAAGCCATCTCTGATATTTCAGACATTATCAGATTGGAGCTCCATGGATGAAGAAGAGCAAGATGAGAAAACCCATAGAAAAGCAACAGAATCACATGAAGAGACTGCCGTTGAAGAAGAAAGACCAATTGACCCACCAGGTTCTCTTTTATTCATTGGTATTCAACAAGAGAAGTAGACTCTTTATATGAGGTAGTGCTTATCTTTCCAGTTTTCAGGTGTGCCACAAGACGTCCCACTCCACCCTGGATCCAGCATGATGGTATTGTAGCTGTTAAAGAACACCTGCAGTCTCTCCTTCATCCAATTGTTTGGTTAGTGTGGAAGTGGTTTTTCTATTTTCAAGGCACATATGTTACCTCCTGTTGGGAAGGATCAATCCCAAGTCTTGAATTTTTGTCTCCTTTGTTTGATTCATATATAGGAGTGGAAGTGGAGAATTGTCTGAGGATCTGCTGGTTTGGGACATTTTGAATGCTTTATCATCCTGCACTGTGATGCCTGAGACCTCCTTCCTCATTCAGCTTGTAGAGTTTGGGAAATGGGAACTCAAAGCTGGGTACAGCTTTCCCCATTTGCACATGGTGAGTAGTCAGCTAATTAGTCATCTTGGTTTTCCAAGAATGACTGACTGACTTGTCTTTGTGGGCTCAGGATGCATTACGAAGTTTTCTTGGTGGTGACCTTGGCAAAGGATTGAGCCACATGCTGTCCCTCCTGTCATTTGTGAATTCAGAGCACCTGCACCGTTCTCAAACAGTTACAGCATATGCTACAGGATTACAGTGTCTTCTGAAGCCTTTGCAGCAACAGGCTGGACATCTTAAGACCTGTGCCAGGCAACATAATGGTCTTGGACTTTGAGAGTTGCTTCATTGCAGATTACCTTAGATTTTTCCTTGTTCTCTTATGTGCTTCTTTTATATATTTTTTGCCTTTTTTTCCCATAGCCAAAGTTGTACCAACCTTGCTGTGGGCTGAAGAAGAATTGCACTCAATGCTGGGAGACTTGAGGCTCTTGCATGCCCTACATGTCAAAGTATTTCAGAGTGGGCCCCCCTCTTCATCCAAAACTCTGGAGGCAGTCAGGTCTTGCTCTGAAATTCCTCTTCTCCATTTGAGACCTGGATCATAATTACTGAAAGCTGTTCTTGTGTCTTGTCCATCAAGGTTGTTGACATGCTTGTATGAGAGAGGGGTAAGAGCAGAGGGATGCCTGGAAAGAGAAGAGAAGATGAGCATTGAGTTGTTCTTGGCTGCTGTGAGACCTTATCTCCAAATGGCAGAAAAATGGGTCTTATTGGGTCATTTGCAAGACCCACAGAAGGAATTCTTCATTCAAGAGTAAAGATGCTTCTTTTCTAGATCATAAGTTTGAGGCATAGGTTTTAATTTTATTTCTCTTTATTTCAGAATAGAGCCATCATGGGCAAAAGGATTCTCTATCAAATCTGGAGTGATCAAGGCTTTGAAGAAAGAGCTTGGTCCAAAATGGAGACCACTTTCATTTATTCTCCCTCTGGCACCAAATTTAATGGCAGCTGGGAAGAGTCATGCTCTGTTGCGAGAGATTCGCAGCAAGCATCCTCATCGAGCCTACATTGCATCGAGTTCACCTCTGACGAGTTAGTCACTTGTATAGTCTTCATTGTCTTCAGGTGGATCATGGACTTTTCTTTAATTTTCTGTAGTGCTGAATCTCCATGAACAACTCAGGACAGAAGTCTACAATCAGGATTTGAAAGAAGAGATTGTGACTGACAGAGATCAGAAGAAAAATGAGGAATGGGAGCTTCGTGTTTCAATGTGGCAACCAAAGTCAGAGGCCTGGAAGGAGGAAAATGATCCTTTTCTTCTCATGCTGGCAGCAAAGTCTGCATCTGCTTTCAACTCTCCCCCAACTTCCCTGCATTCTTCATCTTGTATTCCTTGGTAGTTTCATTCTTGATTTTTCAGTGAAGATCAGTAGAATACTCAGCTAGATGAAGTCAAAGACAGGATAGCATTAATTATGCCTATAGTACTGAATCAATTCAGCACAGGACTGATATCTTGTCAATTCTGTAATCCCCTTTCTACTGGTGCTGGTATGGCATGTCATTCATCTTTCCAGTTATATTTACATTTGAACAGATCATGAAATTACAGTGCAGCAGCGAAAAGCTTCATCTGTTATATTATCACAAAGCACAAAAAGTTTCACATAAGCATTGTGAAATGAAATCAGCATAAAGCTTTCATTGGGATGTATGGGATGGTCCAGATTGAAAAATTTAATAAAAACCAAATATAAGATATCACAAATTAAATTGGTGAATGAAATTTTGTCACCACTGCATTTTCTTAAACGAGTCTTGAAAAGTATGATTCTTGGGTGAGGAAAACAAATTATCGGAGAGAAATGTTTAACATTTAGACTTTATTTTGCCAGTTCTAATCTCCCAAGACACAGGATCAATATATGTAATCAGATTAAACTAATTTCTGAGCATGTTCTTATTTCAGGTGCTATGAGACTAGTAGTTCAGGCCTTTGCCTGAGGGATCTTAAAAAGATCCTGGAGGAGATAATTCGCATCCCCATAGAGAAAGAATGCGTGAGAGTGTGCCAGAAGCTACACAAGATACTCCATGATCACTTTCGCCTTGGTATCTGTTTGGAGGCTATGCAGAAGGTTTTCTTTTGTCAACATGAACCTCTGGCTCGAGATTTTGCTGCTCAAATTTTCTCCAAGGTTTGTCTTCTCAATCTCAGGCTGAGTGAACTTGCTCTTCTTTGAATGCTGGTTGTCTTGTATACAATGTCAGATCATAAGAAATGAAGAGGTGAAAGATGTAGAAGCAACAAGCTGGCTTCGAGACTCTATCTCCGAATGGGAGCCTGTTGCAGCTCTTGGCTTCTCAGTTCACCTTCCCGCTGCAAAGTCCCAGTCTGATCCCTTTACTTACATTCAAGAGGTCAAGATCAACTTTGAAGTAGGTTTCTGTTTTCTAGTTTACTCCATGTAGCCAAATCCTATGTTACCAAATAGGTCTTCCTTGCAGTTGAAGTGGCCTCTGAATGTCATACTGGAGTCTGATGGATACTTGCAGTGCCAACAAGTTCTGTCATTCCTACTAGAAGTCAAATTGGCCCTTCACATCCTGCATAATACTACTTTCAGAGGTATTAGTACTGTAGGCATCAAGGAATGGATATTCAAAGAGATATTTGAGATAGGTCTTCTCATGTAGGACTGGAATGGGGGTTTGTGGAAGGTAGACGATTATGTCTTCTTCGTGCTTGGCTCCTCCATTTTGTCAGCTCAGTTCATTCTCATCTCTTCTATGGTGCTATCCTCCCCCCATTACGGCTGTTTCGAGAGATATATGCATGCACAGATGACATCCAAGACACGATGGAGAGTAAGTTTCCATCTAGACCTATTATTTTTCATGTTTTTTTTAACCTTAGGTGGTTCTTTTTGTCTTGTCTTTTATCTTTTGTTTTGTATTTTCTTTACTGCATAATATGCTGCATTTTTCCTCTCAAGGTTGGAAGGAACTAGTAGGAAGAGTGCATAAGCAGAGTTTGCTTGGTCCAGGCCTGGATCGGCTGTGCAAAGCAGTGAGATCGGTTCTGCCCATCACTCATCAGTTACGAAGGATATGGGGTGGACATGGAACTATGGAGGACTTGGTTGCCTTGGAAACTTCATATATGAACCATCACCAATTTCTGGCAGCTGCATTGCAGAGCATTACCCGCTTGAGAAGTCATCCTTTCTGTGAGCTTTTTCTTTTTACTAAGTTGAGGAAAAAGTTTGTGCGCCGTATTAAAATGATTTTTTATATTTTTTTGTGTTTTTGATCTGGTTTCGTGGCTATTATGAAATTTTATTGATTTTTTAAGATGTCTGATTACGAAATCACAAATGTTGAGCTTCGCGTATTGCTGCGTCATTATTGGAGAAAGAATTTGGATGCAAG